ATATAAAATTCATGCTAGAAGAATCATCCACCAAAGTCATATGTAGGACATGAATCGATCTAGATTAATCATGGTGAAACTTTAAAAAAAACATTAAGCTTAGATAATATGGTTCTATATGTTGGGGTTGGTCCCTGGATTATTGACGTCAGGCAGAATAGTGATTATCCTGCAAGCGCTCCAACAGATGATTCACAAGAGAAAATTCACCAAAAAAAATCAGAGAAAAAAGTCTACAGGGTTTAATAAAATATTATAAAATCAAACAATGACCAAAATCAGTCCACAAGCCGGACTGTTATAGCCAAAAATCGTATTTATTCGAATTTTGCCAAAAATAGCAAAATCCCGAAAATCACTCTGCATTGAAATTCGAAATAAAATAAGCAATCTCAAAAAAATCCGGTCTAAATCGGATTTAAATTGACTTCCTAATTGACAATCAAAATATTACCATAAATAGTAAAAAAAATATCTAAATCTAGTGATTCGGATGGAAAACGGCAGAATTTGAGGTCTTATGCGCGATTCTGACACCTGTAGCCAAAGTTATGGCCAAAAGACTGAAACGTACTCAAAACGACCCCAATGAGGAACATGTCACAATCAATTCCCGCCTTTACGCTGATCTGCCAATTCATAGTATCTCAGCATCATCAAGGTGCAATCTGACAGTTCAGCATCAAGGTTGATTATTTAATAGCCTAAATCTAGTTTTAAGAAAGTTTTTTTTTAAATAATTGTTGAATTAAATGACTAAGAATTTAATATTCTTAAGTATGTTTTACGTTGGAGTATTGTGATTACAGATACAATATTTCATTTGAAAAATTTTACCCAATTCAATTTTGCATAATCAAAATTTATAAAATTATTAGCATCAAATGATTGTAGACAGAAAAAAAGTGTATTGTGTATAACACGACAATACAAACTTCATGTTAAAGGGTTTGGAGCAAAGAAGAAAAAAAAAGGTTTGAATGGTATAAATATAAGGTAAATTATGCATTGCGTATCTAAATTATCAGTTTTAATATATTTTAGTACCTAGACTTTTATTTTTTTAAAAATCATATCTAAAGTTTAGTTTCTATTTCATTTTAGTTCTCATCATTAAAAACTTTAATTTTTGTTTTTGTAATACTCATATCACGTATATGTCTCAAAATACGAGTTAAAGATATCACATCAACTTTACAAACATTCATTGATCATAAATGCTTAAAATTTTGTTCCATTATATAACATTTCATTATTAACTTTACAGTTATTCTATTAATCGTGTTAAATCATAACATAATAATTATCATATAAATCAAGCTTAATTTGAGGCAAAAGTTTAGTAGTTTAATAGTAATTAATACTTCTTAAAAACTGTCTAATTTTAAAATATTTCTTTTTTCTCATAAAATATATTTTTTTATCTAAAATATAAAACTTTGATTCATATTTATAACCCTAATAATATATCTTAGACATTTCTTATTCGTATAAATGTCATCTAGAAAATTTAAAATAGTAGGATGGCATTGCTGATACATGTAGTTGTGATATTTCTTTGCAAGTAGTGCATACTGTCATCATTCATAATAACCTAGAACATAGGAGTAACATGAAAACATAATTTATGACAAGTTTTATATGTTGATAGTATGCACTACTTGCAAATAAATATTATTCTGTATTAATCCACATAATTAAAAACTATTCTGTTTATACCACTTGAAACTAGACTCTAATAAAAATCTAACTATATAAGAAACTTTTTCTAGTTCATCTTATACAATTTATAATGAATTTATGAAGTTGACATGCATAAGTTGTTTTGAGCAGAATCTGCTATCATGCTTTCTGACCTATCCTCAATTAAAAATTCATATCTTTTTGTATATCTATCAAAATAAGTATCCAATTGTTTTAAACAGAACTATACTGACATACGAATCCGACAATATAAAAATCGTCCTCTAATCATTTCTGTATAATTTATGAAGATTTTCTAAACTTACTGTTCAGAACACAAATCTGAGCAAATTTCACTATCTTATATTTTCAACGTATTCACTAATTCTATTAGCATATTAATTGAACATATATGTATGAATCACAATTCACCTAATAGTTAAAAGTTACTTCTTACCATATTAATTTCTTCATTGGCTCATCGCAAGCCAATGTTTACTCGATAACACAAATACAAATTATATATGCACTCACCTGTTCACCTGGTCATGGTGTCCTTAGCTTGTAAACCTTCCTAGCACTTCATGTTACGTCCTTAAGCCTCTCCTTAGCTTTAACATTGATTGATCTTGATTTCAATAATAATCTAAATGAACACCATTTACATAACATATAAATTTCAAACCATATGTTAAAATCTTACTAACATAGGTACACAATAGAAAATAAATTCCTAAAAACCTTTCGATGCTCATTCGATACGAATTTCATATCACATCATCAATATTGATTTTAATACTTCAAATTGACCAATAAATCCCTTTTTATCCAAATTCAACCAAACTTCACATAACATTTTCCAACTTTCCATTTTAACTACCATTTATGAATCCTTTTAGAATTCATATCAACTTTCCATTTTATTCCAAATAGTCCTTTGTCTTTTAGCTTCAATTCAAGTTTCAATCAACTTAATTAAGTTTTAGGCATCTAATTTTCAGCTCAATACCTCAACAACTCAACTATTACCACTTATTTCACTAACTTTCTCAATATTCGCCATTTGGTACTCAAACTTCGTCAACTTTCCAAAATAGTCAAATTTCACATTCTAACATCAAATTCAATATTCTAACTTTCAATTCCAACATAGTACATCATCTTTCTAGCATTTTTACATGAACCCAATAATTTTTCATAATTACTCAATAGGTCCCCCAACTTTCATAAAATTACAAAATGGCCCAAGTAACTTTCTAAAGATTGTAGGACCAAACATAATTTCTAAGCCTAGTGAAAATTTTCACAATTTCCCCTATTAATTCCTTAGGGATGAATATCATAGTGGTTAGGGTTCTTGATTTTCACTTGATTCAAACATGTATTCCACCTCTAAACAACATTTCAAGGCTTCTACAATCAAAGCACTAACATGATTTAACCAAATCATAATTTTCTCAAAACACTATGTCACGACAATTTAAATTTTACCCAATTTCAAATAGTTTTAATCATCATACAAGCTTTAGAATTAATCTCCAACATAAAAAACATAAAAATCTTTCATCAAATCCTCAAAATAACAAATCCTACATAAACCCTAATTTCCAAACTCATCATATAATCATGATCTCCATGTAATATGTATATCAAATGATAGAAAATTTCAAGGGGATTAATTCTGTATCTAATAGCTTAATCCAAAAATCAATTGAATAAGTTTAAAATTAAAATAAAATAAAATTCTTACCTTTTAGCTATGGTGGTGCACATTTTGTGGCCGGAAGAAACTGAAATTTTCTGATTTTTCTTCAATTAAAACATAATACACTTGACTTAATTTAATATAAATGAATTTAAAATTCATTTAATGTGAAATTATCATTTTACCCTTAATGAAACATGATAATTTCAACTTGCCATTGCATTATCATCCCTTTTAATATTTTAAAGTCAAATATGAACAAATAAAAATCCAGTTTTCACCTTTACCCTTGCAGATTTTCAAAAACTACAATTTAGTCACTAAATTTTCCAATTTCAGCTAAATATATAAATTCAACTTCAATTACATTGATCCACATTAAATTTCATTGTTCTAAAATCGGAAATAATATTTCCAACCTTTATCTATCATTTTCAAATTTTCGTAAAATTCTGGTTCGATTCGATTATATTTTCTTTCGGACTTTAATTCTTTATAGCTTTTAACACAAATTCCGGATCAAAATTCTGGTTTCCAAGAAAATGTTATTCTTGGGGTTGAACTATTCATTTACGGGGTCAAAATAACTAACTTTTAAAATTACCCTTTTGGTCCCTAAACTTTTCCAACTTTCTACTTTGACAACTAAACTTTCAAAATTTTCAAAATTTTTAAAATTTATGTTTTGATCGCTAACCAAAATTTGGGGTATTACAGTTTCATTTTAGTACTCTCGTTCAAAATTCAACGTTAAATTTTGAAAAAAAAATTAAAAGTTTAGGTACTAAATTGATCAAAACTGGTAGCTTAAGTACTAAATGCGTTAATTTTTTAACTGTAGGATACTATAATGAAATGAAAATAAAACATTAGGTATGCCTAAAAAATTAAAAGTTTAAGTACTAAAATATATCAAAACTGACAGTTTAAGTACTAAATATGTAGTTTATCCTAAATATAAATAGTGTAAGTTATTTGTAAGACCTGTGGAATTATGTTTCTCATATAGTAACAATTATATGATTGAGGTGAAAAAAGAAAAAAAAAAAGGTAGGGTATCTTGTTCGGCCAATATGATGAGGTTGAGTGGGCTAAAACTGGTGAGCCAAATTCACAACTATTCTGAAGCCTTACATGATTGGTGGTGGGTTCCCGATAGGTATTGTTCTTTCCAACTAGGGACCTCGTCTATTTTGCTTTTTAACTCTCACCCAAAGGCATCTTGGAATTCCATTTTGTTTATCCATGAAATGACCTCCCACCAAAGCTTCCCTCTTCCCATTGAAAAAAGAACAACATTTCTCTTAAACAAATAAAGGTTACCGGCATGAGGTCATGAGGAATTCAAAGAAACAATAGTCAGGTGTTTAGAAGCTCAGGGGAATCTTGGCGCAAATTAAGGATACAATTGCCATGCGTTTATCTACTTCTAACGCCAACACTGCTAATAATTACTCCTCCTTTTGGGGTCTTAATGATTTTATTTTTGGGTAAGGTTATTCAATTATGTAACTCTAACGATAAAAGAGAATATCTTTCATCTTAAAGATTTACGGTTCGAACAGAATGTATTCCGTTGTTATTATTTTAATTGACATTGAGTGTATTTATAAGTCGGGATTGAAGAGTAGATGGCAATAGCCATCCCCCAAAGGTAAAAGGTAGCTAAAGAAAAAGTTCTTTTTCTAGACAGTACTGCGGTGATGCTTATGATGATGACTGCAATTTCCGACACCCACAATCCTCTCTCCTTCTCTCTCCTTCTCTCTCCTTCAACTCAATTAACTCTTCTCCATTTACTTTATTCCCATGCCCAAGAGCAATTATAGTAACTTGTTCATTTTTTAACGTACAAATCAGGTAATACACCTTCTCTTCCTACCTCCTTCTCCATGGCTGACAACAACTGCGGCTGTTGGGTTTTCTTGAAGCGCGGCGTTTGCAACTCCTCTTCTTCTACTCACTCCGCCAGCACTATCCCTCGCACTAGTCTTGTCTATGATGCTGGTATTTTCTTTCTTTCTTCTTCTTTTTATATAATTAGTGTCTTATGTCTCTTTCTCTTTAGCCTTTTGTTTTTGTTTTCTGCTTCTTGTTTTCTTCCTTTCTCCGTTCTTCTTTGCTGCCTGATTTCTGATATCAATCCCATGGGTTGCTTTGGTTCTGATTTCTTCATTTATGTTTATGGAATTACTGATCGAAGGAAGACGGCTGATTGTCAATCTTTATGTGCAGCTACAGAGACAAGATGCCTAAATGCTAGTCATAGAGACCTCTGCCCACCAAATGAAGCCCACCTTTCATCCGATAATCCTGATCCACCAACATCAACCAACAAATCTCGATGCCAGCTTCTTCAATTTACTTATCAGGAGCTAAAATCCGCAACGGGGAACTTTAGGCCTGACAGCATACTTGGTGAAGGTGGTTTTGGGTATGTCTTCAAAGGGTGGATAGAGGAGAACGGGACAGCACCGGCCAAACCAGGTTCAGGGATCACGGTTGCTGTCAAGAGTTTGAAACCAGATGGTCTTCAAGGCCATAGAGAATGGGTGGTTAGTGTAAATAACATACTTATTATGTGATTTGGGTTAGTAGATTCAATGTTGAAAGAGATTCTTTTGCAGGTGGAGGTTGACTTCCTTGGACAACTTCATCATCCTAACCTTGTTAAACTTATCGGTTACTGCATCGAAGACGACCAGAGGTTGCTTGTATACGAATTTATGACCCGAGGAAGTCTCGAAAACCATCTTTTTAGAAGTAAGTCTTGAATGTTGTCCTTCTTTCCAACTCGGTTTAAATCCTCTGTGAGTCGGCTCTAATGGACAGTTATATAAGTTCACATGAAAGAAATATTGATGTTGCCTTGTTTTGTCTAATCTTGCAAAGGGACAATACCTCTCCCATGGTCAAATAGGATCAAGATCACACTTGGGGCAGCAAAAGGATTGGCCTTTCTCCATGGTGGTCCAGAGCCAGTCATTTATAGAGATTTTAAAACATCCAACATTTTACTCGATTCGGTATGTATTTCGTATCGGTGTCGACTCATACCCATGGTTTCATTGGAATCATTCATATGGAAATTATTATTGCAGGAATATAATGCTAAGCTTTCAGATTTTGGTCTAGCAAAAGCTGGTCCTCAAGGTGACAAAACACATGTTTCTACTAGAGTTGTTGGAACCTATGGCTATGCTGCACCAGAGTATGTTATGACAGGTATTAAACTTCTTAGACATGATCCGACTATTTGAAAGACGGAAACTTGATTCAACATTGGAGTTTTCCCCCCCTCTCAGGACACTTGACATCTAAGAGTGATGTCTATAGCTTCGGTGTTGTATTACTCGAGATTTTGACCGGCAGAAGATCGATGGACAAGAAGCGTCCTAGTGGGGAGCAGAATCTCGTTGCTTGGGCTCGGCCGTATTTAGCTGACAAGAGGAAGCTTTACCAATTGGTGGATCCCCGTTTGGAGCTGAATTATTCTCTTAAAGGGGTGCTTAAAGTTTCTCAATTAGCTTACAACTGCCTCCATAGGGACTCCAAAGCCCGTCCGACAATGGACGAAGTAGTGAAGGTCCTCACTCCATTGCAAGGCCTTAACGATCTCGCCATATTATCCCATCACTCCCGTCTATCTCAACAAGCGAGACGTAAAAAGAAACCGGAAGGACCTCATCAACAACTCCCCAATGCTCAATCCAAAAGCACCAGAGACTCCCCCTTGAATTCCGGCAAACACAGGCGTAGATGATCTGTATTTTGGCAAGGACTTGAAATCGAACTTGATCGTGTGAAGATAATATTTCAGGCCCGGATGAGCTAAAGTAGTAAAGCGATTTCTTCTAACCATGAATGTGGGAAGATTATCTTGCAATTTCCCAGTATTGTAATCAGATCAAACTCTATGCTTTGCTTCAAATCTAAATCTCCTCTTTTTCTTTCAATTGACCGAAACAGACGCAATATATTCTAACCATCCGGTCCAAGATAAAAGGCAGTGGGCTATGTGCAGCAAATGAAATGAAGATAACAAATAAAGAGAAAAAGAGTGAGTTCCCCATCAACTGTACTCTTCCGAACTAGAATCTAATCCCTGCCTGCCGCCTTTAACTTATTCTGGAAATCACTTGCAAAATGCATCTTGACATCAGTTACGTATTCTGTATGGCATTCAATATGGAATCTTTCTGGGCTTTACTTGATTCTGCAAATCATTTCCACAAGACTACAGTGAAAAATAAAATAAAAGGTGGTTTAGTTACGTTGGGAATTCATCATGCACACTTTTCTTTCCTTCTTTTGTTGCTTGAAGATAAAGAAACCATCACATTAGGGTAGCTCTAGGAAATAATATATTATGCAGACCAATCAATATAAATCAATCTGGATCTGGCCCTTCCTATGGGTTCCTCATATCTTTTCAATTTATGATTTTTATCATAATTATAATAAATATGAAAAAATATTTATTTTTCATTTCCTTTCTCCCATTTTCCAATTATAAAAAAGGAAAATATTTAGGATATCTAGGTTCCGTTTGATTCTAGAAAATATTTTCTGCTTCTTATTTTCATAAAGTAATTTTCATTTTCAGTTTTTTGAAAATTAAAAAACATGTTTGGTTAATATAAATGAAAATTTGAATTCAAAAATAAAAATAGTGAAAATATATTTGATATCTAATTTATCTAAAATATATATGAATAAATAGTTATTAAATAATTAAATTTAAAATATATATGAATAAATAGTTATACAAATATAATGTTAACGCATATTGGAAATCAATTAAATTGAAAAACATGTAAAAATATTGTTTTAAACAAGTGCACAAAAAGTGTCATTAAAATAAATATATATATAGTTAGTGGTTTTTAGGAGCCTCATATTTTTGAAAAAAAAATAGTGTATCCATTGAACTTCTTTTTGCACTTGATGTTGATGTGATAATGTACGATATTATTGTGGCAGTATACGATGGATGAGGATGTGGTAGATGAGTTTATTTGATTTTTTTACTAAGTTCGAGGGTCTAGTTTATTTTTTAAAAAGTTTGCAGATTTATTTAATTTAAAAAAAATTAAGGTAGTATTTAAATATAAAATATACTAATTATTAATATATTCAATACATTAAATATAAAAATAATACAAAAATAAATTATTAAAAAATTCAATTTAAGGACTACATTGAATATAAAAAAATTTAGAGACCATATTATTTTTTTTGTAAAAGTTTGATGGTTTTATATACCATTAAATAAAAAATTGTTGCTAGAAGGATTTAAACAAAATGTTTTAGATATTTAGGGACCATATTGATTTAAAAACGTGTAAGTTAAGCTAAAATATAGATTTTGTGTTTTCCTATTTTTTAAAATTCCAAAACAATTTTATTGAAAAAATATTTTCATGTTTTCATATTTTTACTTATTTTAATTTTCATTTTTCAGAAATCATTTTCTAATTTTATAACCACACATGTTTTCTTTAATATTTTCTATTTTCTAAGAAAATAAAAATAGTCTATATTTTCTAAAATCAAACGGACTCTTGATTTTTCTTTTAAGGTTTGAGTTCTTCGGTTATAGAAGTTTTTTTTAATTTTTAAAGTAAAAAGTCAATGGTTTTTAAATGGAGTTTTTAATAGGTATTATTCTAAGAAATTTTATATTTATTAGGTAGTTATATATTTAATTTTTTAGTGTCTTTGTTCAAAATTTGTTGTAATATGCAAATTACAGGTTTTTAACTAAAAATTTTATGACATTTATAAATCTTAGGAAAGTAAGGGGACTATTATGTGTTATATGGGAGGGGTCGCGATTCTTTAAAAGTTTTTGGATTTAATTTTTTGTGCTTCTTTTAACTTAATTTTGAAATTAGATCAAAATTTTCATTTTTGGATATATTTGTTTCTTGGATTTCTCTAAGTTTCGAAATGAGGTAAATTAAGTCTTGGTCTACCATTTTTTTTGGTTTTAAGACATTTTAGATTCATTTAAATTTAAAATTAAATAAATTAAATTTCAAATTTTCATTTAAAATTAATAATTTAACAATTAGATTCTAACTGACATTTTATTTTGTTTTATACTTAGTAACATAAGCATAAATTTATGTTAGCAGTACAAGATTAAAAAATTATATATTAAAATTTTGGATGGTACGAAAATTTAAAATTTTAAGACGTGTAAAATTAGATAATTAATATAAATATAAAAAAATTAAAATTTTAAAGGATGCAACTGTACTCCCAAACATCCCTTTGGTCCATCCCTGCTTATATTTACCTTTGAAGTTTCATTCAGACTGTTTCTTGATAAAACTCCATTCCTAATGCATCTCTTAATATATATATATATATATATATATATATATATATATATTATTAAGCTAAGGTGATTACAAAGTATTATTTTTTCTAAATACTCTCAATCATTTGACAATAAAACATAATAATCTTATTGCAATAGTTGGTGTTCGAACCCGTCACCTCTTGGAACAACAATAATTCCTTTAACCGTTGAGATAAATTGATTCTTTTTTATATATATATATATACAGCCATGTTGAGATTTTAATTAATAGTAGGGATCATAGTTCAATTCTACTAAAAAAATCGCTCGAATACGTCAATATAATACTGACATTTTCATGCAAATTAGCAGCATTTTCTTTTTATTGAAGTGATTATATAGAATATATTTAAAAAATTATGTGATAATATATAAATTTACGTTAGTTTTATATGAAGTTATTCAAAATTTTAAAAATCAGATTTTTTATAAATATTAAAAAAACATTTGAAATTTGAATGTCTAGCCAAAATCATTTAACGATAAAAATAAAAGAATGAATACACTCAAACCCATAATTACCTTATTGGATTCCAACTCGTAATTACGATAAATACGGCATTGGATAACGAAGCAGTGAAATTATACTTAATACAGTATTCCGATTCTTTTAAAATTCATAATAATAATACGATATTTGAATAATTAATTTTTTTGGTTGCCTTTGGTTCCAAAGTTTTACCTTGACTAATATGGATTGACCCGAGTCGTAAATCTGATTTTGGTTGGTGAGTCTCCCGACAAGAATATTATGCATACACAAAGACTCGATCCTGAAACATTACTTAAGCGATATCAAGTTGTTTGCCACTTAAACCAATTCCGTGTGTTTAATAATTAAAATTAATTATTATAATACATATCAAATAGGTAATCAAACTATATAAATGTAATGGAAATGAAGAAATTTATTTGCATCGGTGGTTTATACAATATCTGTTGAGGTCATCGTTGAAAGATACGATCAAAACAGCTCTACATTTCTACCCATACGTACCTGTGTCTCGTCAGTGCGACAATAGTCCTGTAAAGCCAGTGATAGTTTGTTTCTGCTGCAAAATCAGCGAACGTGAATATAGTAGTACTATGATACAAAAAAGGAAAAAGAAAAGGAATATGGAAACCGGAAAGTGATATTGGCGCGGCTCAATCTGAGATCGTATCTTACAACCGAGTCCATGCGTAAATCCGTCTTCAGATTGAACCTCACCAATATCGCTTTCTTTATTTTTCTTCCCAAGCAACCAGCAAATTAGACCACGACTGCATCGAGAAGCACAACCCGATGGATGTTTAGAGTTTGTAGGTTTTATACACTTTGCATGCCTTACCGACCAAGAAGAAGAAGAAGAGAAAAGGGTACTTGAATAAAGAGGATATGGCCCCAAGGGCCAAGGCAATAAAATATGATCCTTTTTTCCAGTGTCCCTGTTTGGCCAAAAGAAGCCTACCTTCATGGAGTAGAAGGTGGAGATCATGGCAGTTCTGTTGGTGGTTGTGAATGATTATGACGATGTGGGATCTCTAATCATGATTTTTATTCCTTCATTACTTGACTCAAAATCAAGGCATTTCTGGTGCTAAACTATTAACATGTCTCGTCAATCAAGTTAAATTATGAAAAATCTAAAAAACACAAAACAAGAATGGGACGATAGAAGCATTTTACAGATCAGAGGAAATAAAAACCAGCTAGAAACCAACTACTATCCATGAACAAGACAAACACAGTCTTGATAATATGATGCTTCTTGGTGCACTAAGACATAGCATGTTCGTATATATTATGAATATGAGAGGGCAAAAAAATAGCAAAAGACAAATGGAGGAGACATTCTTCTGTTGATTAAAAAGTGTCTACAGTAAACCTCAAAGTTTCCAGCAAACTATACTTGAAAGCATTGATTTTATATGTATCACAGCTGTTCATCATGGAGTACCACTCAGATCAATAAAAAAACAAAGGCTTGATTTTCGAAGGTTTTAACTCAATTAGGGTTAAAAAAACAACAGATGGAAGTGATGAGATTGTCAACGATGATCAATAAAAGAAACAATTATGATATGGTTTTATGACTTTATTCTACGCACGAGAGAAGGATTAAGGGAGTGATTGCAGGCGAGGATTTAAATAGAGGTGTGCATCACGCTATTATGATAACTATTCAAAAATATTAAATATTGATATTTTTTTTGTATGCACAATAATGATAAATACGGTATAATAAAAAATACATGCGTTTAGAAGCTAGAACCATAGTTTACAGGCGAGGGGAATGATGTTAAGGAGAGCAAATTAAACATGCTTTTTGGGGTTTGTCATGCTTAATTTCCAACAACCCAAAGCGGAGACACCGGCGCTAAAGGAGCCTGCACTCCTTGGGTTTTGCTTTCTTTTAAAGAGGGTCAGCCAGTCAGGCAGGCCCCTCTTTCGCCTTGAAGATTTCTGTTTAAAAATTACATAAAGCAACTTTTAGTTTTTTAAAAATGAAAGCCTCTGGAGCATTGAGATGATTGGGTAATTGGAGACCATTTAGGTAATTGGGTTTCGGGGTTTATGAAGATCCTTGGGTGTTGCATTGCACA